CTTTTTTTTTTTTTTTTTTTTTTTGAAGACAGAGTCCCTCGCTAGTTGGCCCAGGCTGGAGTGCAGTGGCGCGATCTCGGGCTCACTGCAAAGCTCGCCTCCTGGGTTCACCGCATTCTCCTGCCTCAGCCTCCCGAGTAGCTGGGACTACAGGTCCGCCGCCGCCTCGCCTGGCTAATTTTTATCTCCTGACCTCGTGATCCGCCCGCCTCGGCCTCCCAAAGTGCTGGGATTACAGGCGTGAGCCACCGCGCCCGGCCGAGGTGGGGTCTTATTTTGTTGCCCAGAATGGTCCTGAACTCCTGGGCTCAAGCAATCCTTCTGCCTTGGCCTCCCAAAGTGCTGGGATTACAGGTGTGAACCACCATGCTGGACCAGAATTAGGTTTTTTCTTTTTTTTTTGAGACGGAGTTTCCCTCTGTCTCCCAGGCTGGAGTACAGTGGCACGATCTTGGCTAACTGCAACCTCGCCCTCCCAGGTTTAAAGCAATTCTCCTGCCTCAGTCTTCTGGGTAGCTGGGATTACTGGCACATGCCACCGTGCCCAGCTAATTTTTGTATTTTTAGTAGAGACGGGGTTTCACCATGTTGGCTAGGCTGGTCTTGAAGAACTGGGTTTTAATAAGCAATGAGAAGCATTATAGCAGCCCTGATAATGAAACTTCGATGATATCGAGACTTCTTCCTCTTCTCCTTGTGGCTTGCTCTTTAAGCCTAGGGGGACTTCTGGTCCCTGGACTCTCCCCTCTTCTCACTCCCCACTGAGGTCTGGCGTCAGCATGGAGCCTCACATGCGCCCTCAACTGTTCTGCCCTGGTCAAACCAGCCACTGTCTAGGCCCCACCTTCATCCTGTGTTCTTGGTGAGTGGACATACACCTGTACCACCCGGCCTTCCTGTCCACTTAAGGGATGTCCCCAAGGAGGTGAGAATACTGCCCCACATCCAGCCCAGATAACTATCCCGGGCCTTCTGTGCCTCCAACCTGCCGTGCCTCTGCCCTGCCCTGCCCTTAACCAGTTCCAGGGCCACCAGGGGAAAACCAGCCAGGCTCTCATCCCAGCCCAGCCCAACCCTCCTTCAGTCCTGCACCCTGCTGCCTTCTCTTCTGCTACAAGAGGAAAAAGGGTCTCTCTGCTGGGCTCCTGCTCAAGGGCACACGACGCCTGCTCCCCATCATCAGATCCTGTCTACTGCATCACTCCAATGGGAACCTGTCATCACTCCCATTTTAAACACTCCCATTTTAAACACACCATTCTGCACCCCATGCCTGTCTCGCTGCTCTCCTTTACAGCAAACTCAGGCATGGAATCCAAATACGCATCCTCAGAACTCCTGCCTGTCTTTTGTCCCCACCCAAATCTCATCTTGAATTCCCACGTGTTGTGGGAGGGACCCGGTGGGAGGTAATTGAATAATGGGGCAGGTCTTTCCCAAGCTGTTCTCGTGATAGCGAGTAAGTCTCACGAGATCTGACAGTATTCAATTAGGGCGAGTTTCCCTGCCCACTCTTGCTCTTTGCCTGCCGCCATCCACGTAAGATGTGACTTGCTCCTCCTTGCCTTCCACCATGATTGTGAGGACTCCCCAGCCATATGGAACTGTAAGTCATTAAACCTCTCTCTTTTGTAAATTGCCCAGTCTCGGGTGTGTCTTTATTAGCATTGTGAAAACGGACTAATACACCACCATTCCACAAAACCTGCACTCGCCAAATCTGAGTCAGCTCCCAGGCTGTAAGCCGGGGACCCCTCTCCTGACTTCTCACCTTTCAGGCTGGCTCCCTAGGCCCAAGCACCATGCCTCAACTTCCCCTCCACCTGAGCAATGGCTCCTTGGTGCCTCTTCCTGTCTGACAGCTCTAAAGGCTCTCTCTGTGGTCACAATTCCCAGTCTCCAACATGGGCCACGCCGGTAAGTTGTTCATCCAACCACTCACCAGCGTTTCCATGAGGGGGCCCAACAGGCATCTGAGACTCACACATCCAAAGCCACAGCCCAAACTCCGCCGGTATTATATTAGGAGAAGTTTGTGGGAGGGACCCGGTGGGAGGTAAAATCCCTGCAATACCCTGCCCTCACCTTTTCCATCTTGGTTAAGGATAACTTTCTCCTTAAAATTGCTTACGCCCAAAACACTGTAACTTAAATAAAATGGACAAATTCCTCTAAAGACACAAACAGAGGATCTGGAAAGACCTATAACAAATAGAGATTGAATTAGTAATCAAAAAAGCCCAAACCCAAATGGCTTCAATAATGAATTCTACCAAACACTTAAACAATTAAAGCTGAGTCCACTGGCTTGTGCCTGTGATCCCAGCTACTCAGGAGGCTTGAGGTGGGAGGATCAGTTGAAGCCAGGAGTTGGTGACCAGCCTGGATGGTATAGTGAACACCGATCTTCTAAAAGAAAAAAATTAATAACAATTACAAACTCTTCCAAAAAAAAAACAAAAAAACACTTACAACTCATTTTATGAGGCCAGTAGGACATTAATTCCAAAACCAGACACAGACACCACAAGAAAACTTCAGACCAATATCTATGACGAATATGGATTAAAAAAAAAATCACCCAAAAAAACTGGATTAACCTGAATCCAGGAAGAGAGATACTCTATGACCAACTGGAATTTATCTGAATGCAGGGGATAAATACCTTTTCAATATCTGAAAGTCAATTAATGTAACACACCACATTCCTAGAACAAAGAAAAAAAACCCATGATTATCTCAATGGACGTGGAAAAATCATTTAACCAAATCTGACACCTTTTCATGATAAACACACTCAACAAACTAGAAATAAAAGATACTTCCTCGGCTGGGCGTGGTAGCTCATGCCTATAATCCCAGCATTTTGAGGGGCTGAAGGGGGGTGGATTACTGGAGGTCAGGAGTTCAAGACCAGCCTGGCCAACATGGTAAAACCCCATCTCTACTAAAAATACAAAATTAGCTGGATGTGGCCGTGTGTGCCTGTAATCCCAGCTACTCGGGAGACTGAGGCAGGAGAATCACTTGAACCTGGGAGGCAGAGGTTGCAGTGAGCCAAGACCCAGCCACTGCACTCCAGTCTGGGTGACAGAATGAGACACTGTCTCAAACAAAAAATAGGTTTTATCAGGTTGAGGAAGTACCTTTTTTTTTTAGACGGAGTTTCCCTCTTTTAGCTGGGATTACAGGCACCTGCCACCACCCCCAGCTAACTTTTTGTATTTTTAGTAGAGATGGGATTTCTCCATGTTGGCCAAGCTGGTCTCAAACTCTGGACCCCAAGTGATCGGCCGCCTCGACCTCCCAGAGGGTTGGAATTACAGGCGTGAGCCACCACACCCAGCCTGATAAAACCTATTTTTGAAGCACCCACAGCTATCATCATACCCAATGGTGAAAGACTGGATCTGAGATCAGGAGCAAGACAAGGATGTCCACTCTCGCTGCTGCTAGTCAATATTGTACTGGAGGTTCTAGCCAGGGCAGCTAGGCAAGGAGGAGAAATAAAAGGCATCCAGATTAGAAAGGAAGAGGTAAAATGATCTCTATTCACAGATGACACGCTTTTGTATAAAATCCCAAGGAATCCACTAAAAGACTAGAAGAACTAATAAATGCCACTAAAAGACTAGAAGAACTAATAAACGGGTTTAACAAGGTTGCAGGATAAAAGATCAATATACAAAAAGCCCTTGGAGTCACCCTTGACCTTTCTGGGTCACACTCCACATCCCATCTGACAGTGGATGGCCTCTGGCCTCTGGCCTCCTTCTCAGCCCTTCCTAGTCTGTTCTTCACCCAGGAGTCAGAATGACCCTTTTAAAGACTTAGTCGCATCCTTCCCTGGGCTCAGTCTTCCGAAGGCTGCCCATTTCCTGCAGAGAAAGGGCCACAGTTCTGACTGTGCAGGACCTGCCTGCATCCCTCCATGTCCCCACCTCCCATTTCCCACCAGTCCTTCCAGCTATGGGTTCTCGACTTAGAGGCCTCTGCTGTTTCTTACACTCCAGGCTCTCGTGTTTCAGAGGCTCTGTCTGCCGTGCCCCCTGCTTAAGACACTTCTTCTGCAGATATCCTCACCCTCGACGCCCACTTCCCGCTGGTCTTTGCTCAAATAAGTGCCCTCCTCCTGTGGCTTTCCTTGACTGTTCCGCCCTGTCCACCTCGTGTTCTTTTCAGACGGCTGACTCAAGAAAAAATAGACAATCTCAACAGACCTATAACAAGTGAAGAGTCTCAATTAGTAACCAAAAAACTACAACTCAAGTAAGTCATCAAAAAAGCCCAGCCCCAAACGGCTTCAACGCTGAATTGAAGCCTGCACGTGGGTTGGTATGTGAATGATGGACTACGGTCCTCTGGGCACTCGGCATTTCCTACACGCTCTGACTCTGGCACAGGGTGTCTCGACCAGGTACAGACAGGTTGGGAGCCCCGCGCCGGGTGCCCGCTCCCGGGAAGCTCCACCTCTCCCTGCAGTCAAGGCGCCGGTGGGCGGCACGTGGGCCGGCTCTCCCGGGGGCAGTTCTCTATTCCGGCCATGAGGTTCTCAGACCAAATCCTCGGAATGCAAACTCTCACGGCGTTCCCGTAATTCTCAGCCCAGCGCGGGCCCCGACGCAGGCTCCAGGGGAACGAAGTCAGCGTCCCTTCCGGGGGATGCGCCGGCTGCGCTGCACCTGTTTCTGCCTCAGGGGTCCACACGCCCATCTTCCCTGCACCGGGACTGGGGCCTGGAGACCGTGGCACGTCCACCTGGTGCCCGTCCACGGGCTGTCGCCTGCCGAGGTCGCCGCCGGCCACACCCACGAGGTCCCCAGGGCGCAGGCGGCGAGAGCTCGGCCGGCTAGGGGGCCGGGCTGCGGCTGAGGTGGGACAAGCCAGGGCCGGGGAGGAGGCACGGCGCGGAGAGATGGCTGCTGCAGGCTCAGCACGGTCCCCGCCGCCAACCCACTCCGCCCACCCCGCGCCACGGATCCCGCGCCCCGCACCGCAGGCCTCAGAACGTGATGGAAGCAGCGGAGCAGGCGTGGACCCGGGCGGGTGCTATTGGGCCTGCGAAAGGGGGCGGAGAGAGGCGGGTCGACGCTCACTGCGCCTGCGGAAAGGGGCGGAGCGGGCACCGGCCGGCGGGTGCCACCTACTGCGCCTGCGGAAAGGGGCGGGGCCGGCGCGAGCTTGCAGGCGGTGCCTAGTGCGCCTGCGGGAAGGGGCGGGGCGGGCGCAAGAAGGGAGCGCAGCTGGGGGCGGGGTCGAGGGCGGGGTGGCGGGCGGTGCCTACTGCGCCTGTGCGAGGCCGCGGCGGTGAGCGCGCTCCTGCTCCTTGGCCGCCGCCTCAGCCGCTGTCGCCGCCGCCGCTCACCCGGGGCCGCGCACGCGCTGCCACCGCCCCCGGCCCGCGCCAGCCCCCGCCTCCGCCCCCGGCCCGCGCCCTCCTGCCGCCGCCTCTCTGGGCCGCGGGCTCGGCTCCTCCTCCGCCCGGGCTCGGCGCCCGCAGCATGCAGCAGCCGCGGGGGCGGCGACGGCGGCGGCTGTGAGGTGAGGCGGGGGCCGCGCTCGGGCGCCCCTCCCGGCGGGCCGGCTGCGGGGCCGAGTGGGGGCTCGGGGCGCACCGGGCCCCGCGCGGCGAGGGGCGGCGGCGCCTTTGTTGCGGCCGGGCCGCCGCCTCAGCCCTTTGTCTGCAGATGGTGGACGCGGGCGGCCGCGCCGCTGCCGAGGGCTGGAGGAAGATGGAGGCCCCGCCGGACGGCGCCGCCGACCTCGTGCCCCTGGACCGCTACGACGCGGCGCGCGCCAAGATCGCCGCCAACCTGCAGTGGATCTGCGCCAAGGCCTACGGCCGAGGTGGGCCGGGCGGGGGGCGCGGGCCGGGGCCGGGGGACGCGACCGGGGTCGGGCCGGGTCGGGGTCCGCGCGCCGCGCCTTTGTGCCGCGTCCGCACAGGGTCGGGGCTGGGCTGGCCGCCTCCGAGATCCCGGCGGCGCCCGGGCAACGCGGAGCGTGGGGACGCGGTCACCTGGCGAGTGGGCGTCCCCGCGGCGGAGGGCGGCGTGGGTCGGGGCTTCCGCTCCTATTTCGGGAGTGCCCCCAGCCTCCCGTTGGCGGCGGCGGCGGGAGGGAGCCTGCCCGGTTTTGGGCGCAGGGAGGGACCATGGGGACGCGGGGCCGCTGTCTGAGACGCCGCTTCCCAGCGCGCCGGGCATCGCCAAGTGCTGGACCTGTGTTTCCGAGCCTTTCACTTGTTAAGAATTTTGATGCTTACCATCCATCAGCTGTTGAATTCCCCAACTAGAAATTGTGTATTCCGCGGATTGTGCTTAATCATAATGATCCCCTTTGCTTAATTCCTGTTTGGAAGAACTAGGTAACCTTGTTACTGAGTCCAATTGGTTAGGCCCTAATGTGCTTAGTGGATTAAGATGCTTCTGTTTCATGCCCTGGGAACAGGACAGACCTGGTGATTCTCATAAGTGGCTGACTTCTTTATTAATTTCAGGTGCTTTGTTTCAGGTACCATATTAAGGGTTAATACTTCCGTAATCCTTTTCATTGGAAGCATTCTTCAACAGTTTGCCTTTATCCTGGTGAAAAATTAACCTGTTTAGAGTGAGACTAAAGGAGACAGAGAGCCATTCCAGAGAGGAGTTCAGTTGACCAGTTTGGAAAACGCTGAGCAGGCGTTACCCTGTTTGACAGTGGCCTGTGCCCCAGCTAGACTCTAGTTAGTCATAAGGACAAACGCGTTTTGTAAGTTTTAGGGATTAAATACCTCGCCTTATTTCAAACTGGTTTTTGTACTGTGTAAGTAGTAATTGGGAAAGAGTTCTTCCTTTCTTTGATAGTTTTCAGTTTTACAGTTCTTGTTTACTGGCTCAGTGGAACCTTAGTTTCTGTGTTGTAATGATGAAGAAACACTGCTACATCCAAGACTTCACATGAGTTTTTGAGAACGGAATTGGTAAGATGTATGTATAAAACCTGAGTCAGGTGCAAACAGCAATCCGAGAGCAGACCTTGGTTATCTTGCAGTCACTGCCGGTTGCCTGAGCTCACTTGCCTGAGCTCACTTGCCTCACACCTTGTGTTGCTCCCTGTTTTGCTTTTCTTTGTATTTTGCCGTATGCGCTTACACCACTATAGTTTTTACACCTTTGCCAGTGATGTCTCTTTCTGAGACTGGCTTTTGCTATTCCATTATCCCACGTTGTGTTCTTAGGTTCTTCTCGACTTCATCTATACTTTTCCACTGTATTTTCCGCTGCTGTGGGAGTGTCCCACCGAGGCCCGTCCACCGCAGCTGCTTGTGGGCGCTGGCTGGGCTCCCGCAGATGCAGTGGAGCCCAGGGCATTCTTGGGCATGGCTCCTGGGGTCCGAGCACAAAGTTTTACTCCTGCATGTTTTTTTTAAGATTTTATATGTGGAGAGGGCTGAGGGCTCAGGCAGCGGATGTTAGACAAATTGCTATAAAAAGAACTTTCATGATCTGCTTCCCAATTTCTTCAGCAAGGTGCATGCATTTTTATGTCGTTGCATTTAGTTTTGGCATTCAGCATGGAATTTGTCAGCCATCCAGCAATAAATATGCATGTCTCTGTGTTAGTATTGGGTTCGTCTTGTTTCAGTTCCGGTACCAGATCACTCTTTAATACTTGTTGACTCATCAGACGATGAATTCAGAATCTTATACTAAAATGGGCTTTCGAGTTTTGGAATTATTAAAAGGTGGGCATTTAAAGAAAAGAAACACGAACAGGAGCTGGGGAAGACTGGATACCATCTTAGGAGCTGAGACTGGAGTGCCCCTTCCTGGTGGGTGGCAGTGCCTTTGCACATCTGACCCTGATTTCAGGAGGTCTCGTTTCCACTTTTTTTTTTTTTTGAGACTGAGTCTCTCTCTTCCATGCTGGAGTGCAGTGGCGCGATCTCAGCTCACTGCAACCACTGCCTACTGGGTTCAAGTATTTCTTCTGCCTCAGCATCCCGAGTAGCTGGGATTACAGGTGTGCGCCCCCACACCCGGCCAGTTTTTGTATTTTTAATAGAGACGGGGTTTCTCCGTATTGCCAGGCTGGTCTCAAACTCCTGACCTCATGATCCGCCTGCCTTGGCCTCCCAAAGTGCTGGGATTACAGGCGTGAGCCACCGCGCGTGGCTGGTTTCCACTTCTTTTTGCCGAGGGGACAGGGGAGCGTATGTAATTACAAAAAAAAAATTTAAGCCCGGTGTGGTGGTTTATATTTATAATTCTAGTGAATCAGAGACAAAGGTGGGACGATCACTTGAGGCCAGGAGTTTGAGATGGAGTCTGCTTGGGTTTCCCAGGCTGGTCTCCAACTCCTGGGCTGGAGTGATCCTCCTGCTTCAGCTTCCTGTGTAATTTTCTTTTTTACTTTTTTTTTTTTTTTCCGTAGGGGACAGGGTCT